GCCCCCGATTTCTTGATACAACTTGGTGAGCACATCCAGGTAAGTGTCTGTTGAAATACATCCATTGGTATGCCATTGGTATGCAGTTGCCCTGCAACTGAAAACTTGAATTTATTCTTCAGTTCCTTCAGCTTAAGAAATGCCAAGAGAGTTTGGCCCTTGATTGTCCAACTCCAGCTCTTTGCACGTTTTTATTATAATACTTTGTTTGGTTTTTCCATGCTGTCCTTTGAAATCTTTTGTTCAGCTCCTTAACTTCTTGAGTTCTTCCCTTTGCTTTGACTTCTCAGCCATCTAGTGTAATATTCAGAGTCTCTTCTGACATCCACTTTGGTCTTCCTTCATTTTTGTAATGACCTTTTGCATTCTTCATGGATGGATATTCTTGATATCTTCCCATAGCTCATCTGGTCTTTGCTCATTAATATGCAAGATTTTTGCTTATTAGTATTCAAGGCCTCGAACCAGTTCCTGAGATGGTCTTTAAACTCAGGAGGGGTGGACTCAAAGTCACACTTTGGTTCTTGTGGACCTAATTATATTTTCTTTAGCTTCAATTTGAGCTTGCATACAGGTAGTTGATGATCACACCCACAATCAGCACCTGACCTAGTTTTCACAGCAGAATCTGAGTTTCTCCAACAATTTTCCCCACATATTTGATCAGTCTTATTCCAGTGTAGGCCATCAGGTGAGGTCCATGTGTATAACTGCCATTTATATTTCTTATAAAAGGTATTTGCAATGAATATATCATTGACTGCACAGAATTCTATGATTGTGTCTCCAGCCTCATTTCTGTCACCAAGTCCAACTTCTAATCTTTCTTCCTTTCTTCCTTGTTCCTAACTTTTGTATTCCAGTCACTTATTATTACTAATGTATCCTAGTTGCAGTTCAACATCAAGAAAACAAAGATTCTCACCATTGAGCCAATTAGCAGCTTTCATGATGGACAGAGAAGAGACTGAGATTGTTGATAACTTCAGCTTGCTTGGTTCCACAATCAAAACTCTTGGCATCACCAGTCAGAAAATAAAAAGACTAATTGCATTGGGAATGTCTGCTGTCAGAGACCTCTCTAGAGTACTGAAGAGCAATGATGTCAGTATGAAGACTAAGGTGGACCTGATCCAGGCCATGATGTTTGCAATTACTTGCTTTGCATCCAAGAGCTGGACAATAACTAAGTATGATAGAAGAAAAATTGATGCCTTTGAGTTGTGGTGCTGTTGAAGAGTGTTGAACACACTGTGGACTGCCAGGAGAACAAACAGACCTGTCCTGGAGATGGTAGAACCAAGCTGCCTCTGGAGGGAAGGATTTTTGAGGCTCCATTCACACAGTTTGGGCATGTGACCAGGAGGGACCAGTCCTTAGAGAGGGGCATCATGCTTGGAAGGATGAATGGACAGCACAGGAGAGGAAGACCCAGGATGAGATGGATTGACATGGTAACAGAGGTAGTTAATCACACAGTAGAAGATTACCCATCCTTCTCTCATGGAGCAGCTGGTGGCCTTGAACCACAGGCCTTCTGGAATGCAGTGCAGTTTCTTGCCACTAGGCCATTATACACAAAAATCCCTCTCCTTTATGAATGGTAATTCACTTGGCTACTTTATTAAGATGAAGTGCAGAAACTATTTAAATGATGAAAGATATTACCAGCAGAAAGAAAATGGGGAAATATGGTTGCTAAGCATTGACTGAATTAATTTTATATTTACTGGTCATGAAAGGAAAAGAGCATCATAACTCTGATTTCTTTAAGTATTATAAACAAGTATAACAACAACACGGATATTACATCTCTCCCATGAGCAAGTCTCAATTCTCTTCTATATTCTGATTCCAGGATATAAAATAGCATGACAACGAAGGGATGAATTTAATTTTAAATTAATTTAATTACAAAGAAAGCTTTGTAGGAATGTGTTCAAAGATAATCTACATATTGATAGTCAATTTACATGAGCTGATTAAAAATAAGATTATTAATACTAATACTAATTCACATTAAAATAGAAGCAGGAATATTTGATGTAGCAACACAAGCAGTTAATTTATTAAAAATAATGCATGTGTACATGTAATGCAAGGTTGGAGTTGTGTACAGAGGGTGGTGTGGGTAAAATTGGAGAGTCATAATGATTTAACTCATGCATTTGAGATGGAGGAGGTGATGTTGAAAAATAAACCTAAGTGTGGACTCATTGGGGTAATAGCTTCCCCTGGAGATATACAGACAAATGCATAAAAATCCCTTCTACCTGGCCCCCTCAGAGAGTCCTCTGTGACTCATCTCACTCTAAAACATGAAGACAGGGTTTGAAGCAGGTGAGTGAGTTATTTATTCATATGGGGTAAACTTTAAGAAGAGAAAGAAGAAAAGCATTATCTCTAGACTAAGTGTTGATGGGACTAAGGTAACTGTTTGAGAACCTTTGGGGTTAAGTAGGCACTATAGCACCAGGAACACACCATCATTGAACCAGTTTCCAACTTATCCTGAAAGACCAGACCGCCTCATAGGGTTCACAAAGCTGTAAATCTTTACAGCGCACTGTCTCATCTTTCTCCACAAGAGCATCTGGTGCGTTTGAGCTTCCAACTTTTTGGTTAGCAATCAAATGCCGCAACCACAGAAACCGTATAGCACTATGAAAAGCAGATTCTTGTTCGTTTTAAGCTTTGACCAGACTTGAATGCATGGATGTCCAGTTCTTACATGGTTTACCAGAATGTTTCTGCTATTGGCTACAGAGATATAGAAGAGGATAATGTCTATAATAAAGCATTGGAAACCCTGTGTAAGTCTGCTCCGCATTCAGGTGTAACCATGGATAGAGAATGACGACTTGTGCAGAGTCTCCCTCCACCCCTCCCCTTACACCATTCACAAGGCCGTGTTAAGTTTACCCAAGTCAGCAGGTCTCTTTATCATTGGTCAATTTCACAGATTAGAAAATTATTAGGCTCTATTACTTATAAACTGTGCCAAGTTTCCTCTTCTCATTTTTAATGAACTCTTCATTGTAATTTGAGTTAAAGTGTACAAAGCAAATTGGCTTCCAATTTAATAATTTATGCACATGTTATGCATGAATTAATGTCATATTGTGACATTAATTTCAATCCCCTCATAGTAACAGTATTCACTCTACTTCCTCCATTTCATTTTTTCCATTTTCATTTGGTTTTCTTACCAGCTTTTCACTGCCTTCCAAGCTTTATCCTTGGTATATGCAGCCACTTTAAACTTAGTCAATTGTTCTTAAGAAGTACATTTCCCTCAATTAGAGCGATGCAAATCAAAACCACGATGAGATACCATCTCACTTCATTAAAAATGGCAAAGCATAACAGGATAGCACAGTAATTTTTTGAGAGGATATTGAGAGACTGCAACTCTCACACTCTGTTGGTAGCATTATAAAATGGTACAACCACTCCTGGAAGGCGGTTTGGAGTTTCCTCAAAAAGTTGAACATAGAAATCTGAACAAATGACCCAATTATTCCACTGCTAAGAATATACCCCAATAAAAATATAAATGAGACACAAATAAATGTTTGTACACCAATTGTTCACAGCAGCATTATTCACAATTGCAAGAATATGAAAGCAGTCCAAATGTCTATTAACAAATTATTGGGCTGAGAAACTGTGGTGTATTCATGTGATAGAATACTATGCAGCACACGGGACTATTATTTCAAAAAATATTACATAACATGGGAGAATCTAGAGAGCATTATGCTGAGTGAACTTAGTCTCATAAGGACAAATACTGCATAAGCCCATTATTGTAAAAATAGAAGGATAACTAGTGAGTATAAATGTCCAAACAGGGAAGAGGAGGGAGTGGAGGATGAGAAGGTAAAAATCACTGGGGCAAACAAAAAAGAAAGTTTGTTAAAAAAACAAACAAAATGTGTATGAATAATTGGATAGATAACCAAATTGCTTTGTAAATGTTCATGCAAATTACAAAAAAGAAAATAAGGGGGGGAAAGAAAGACAACCATTAAATCATACGTATAAAATAACAATAAATCTTTGGAGCAAATTTTTTAAAAGTAATGCACTTCTCTCTAGTATTATTGATCTCTTTATAGACCTATTATTTAGCGGGGTGATTTTAATTACAGGTTTGAAGGGTGACTAAAAATCACAGTCCCGGGGGTTCCAAAAGTTTCTATCAGACCAATACATCATGGGGAGTTTTATGCTTTTTTGTGTTTTTCCCAGTCTGTTTTTCCATTATCTTCTTTCACAATTTCTTTCAGAATGATTGGAGTTCTTGTGGCCTAGTGGCAAGAAGCTGTGCTGCAATCCTGAAGGCATTCAGTTCAATGACACCAGTTGCTCTGCTGGAGAAGGTTGGGCAATCTCCTCCTCTGTGATTAACTGCCTCTGAAAACCTGCTGCAGGGTCAGCCATGTGTTGGTTCCACTTCAACGGTAGGGTGATCGGCAGTGGTAGGTTGGCATCATCTAGTTCTCCTGGCATCAGGATCATGGAGACTGAAGTTCACATAGTCCATTATGAATATTGACCTTTCTGACAGTTTGAATTCACCACCAGCCAGCTCCCTGGGAGAAAGATGGGCAATCTCCTCCCATGGGATTGACATCCTATGAAAACTTACTGGAGAATCTGTTTTGACCTATGGCAATGTGTTTGAGTAAGAAAAATATTCATCTTCCTTTTTAGATTATTTCCTCCTTTCAATTCACTTTTCAACTTGTTATTATCATGTGCCATTGAGTCAGTAACAACTCATAGCTAAAGATTGTCACTTCACTAAAGAATAGGGTTTGTATTCAGTTTAATCCTACATAGTCTTTAAGGTATTAACAATAGAAAAGAGTGGAATAAATGTTAAAAAGCTTTTGGTGACATAAGATATTTTTTCTTCCATTTTTTTAGTATAACTTGGACTTTTCTCTATCTCTGTGAACAGGAAGTGAATCTTCAGGTCATCTGCTCCAAGTATGGCTACCTTGAATCACACTGGGGTGAACCACAAAGTCTTCCGCTTGCTGGGCATCCCTGGCCTAGAGGACCAGCACATGTGGATTTCCATCCCTTTCTTCATTTCCTATGTCATTGCCTTACTCGGGAACGGCCTGCTTATCTTTATCATCCTCACAAGGCGCAGCCTCCATGAACCCATGTACCTCTTCCTCTGTATGCTGTCTGGAGCAGACATGGTCCTCTCCACAACCACAATACCTCAGACCTTGGCCATCTTCTGGTTCCATGCTGGGGAGATCTCCCTGGACCGCTGCATCACTCAGCTCTTCTTTATCCATTCCACTTTCATCTCTGAGTCAGGAATCTTGCTGGTGATGGCATTCGACCGCTACATTGCCATATGTTACCCACTGAGGTACACTACTATTCTAACGCACAGCCTGATTGGAAAAATTGGTGTGACTGTCTTTCTCAGAAGTTATGGCACCATTTTCCCCATAGTATTTCTTTTGAAAAGACTAACTTTCTGCAGAAACAACATTCTTCCACACACAAGTTGTGAGCATATCGGCTTGGCCAGATATTCTTGTGATGATATCCATGTTAATATCTGGTATGGGCTTTTTGTCCTAATGTCAACTGTGGTCTTGGATGTTATCTTAATTTTTATTTCATATATGCTTATTCTTCGTGCTGCCTTCCATATCCCTTCCAAAGAAGCTCGTTATAAAGCTCTCAATACATGTGGCTCCCATGTCTGTGTCATCATCCTCTTTTATGGGCCTGGCATCTTCTCAGTCCTCACTGAACGATTTGGACGCCACATCTTACCCCATATTCATGTTCTGCTGGCTAATGTCTGCATTCTGGTTCCACCAATGCTGAACCCAATAATTTATGGAATCAAGACCAAACAGATCCGGGACCAGGTAATGTATATGTTGTTTCCAAAAGTAAAATGACTGAGAACAGCAACCAAACCAACTACCATTTTCTCATTCTTAATCATACACAAAATGCTCTAGCAGCCCTAGTAGATGGATGGCAATTGAAATAAATGTCTCAGTGAGTCTGTTTCAGAAGCAAATCCATTCAGGGAGTTTTGAGGACTATCTGGTGGCATAGTCCATAGGGAGTCACACTGCTCCTCCAAAGATCGTGTCTCTCTGATGGTTCAAATCTATGAGCAAGTCTGATAGAAATAGATGGCACCCTTATCCCATGTGATTTATAACCTCCAAAAGTTCATAGATGGTCAGCTAGGAGTCAGTTCTGACTGATTCAATGACAATGGTTGGGGAGGTTAATCAAGAATTAAAGATGACTCACTGAGCTTTCTCATTCAGAAACTGAGAAAGGAACCAGTTCACTTTTCCATTCAGTTCTGGCTCTGTAATCCCAGGCAGGCACTTGGAAAGAGATAACTATGAGTAATTGCCATTGTCTCCTGGTTTGTTTCCTGTCTTGATATAGTGAAGTAGTTCCCACTTTTCTAATCCACCATAGGCCAGCTCTGTGCATTTTCATTTTGTTTTTGTTTTTTTTTTAGCAACACCCTTGTACTCTCCTCACTAGCAGCCAATATCGCTCTTCTTTTCCAGTTGCAATGGCCAAAAATTTCTCCAGACAGTGCCAAATTTCTCCTGGGCAAGATAAAAATCATTCCTGTTGAGCAGCACTGCTTTAGACCCACCGATATACTGGGAATAATTTTCAAATATGTATCTCCTCATTACAGCTTGAACTCCAGATTCACTCTTCCAATTTCATACTTAACATATCTACATGGATATCTATTAAGTATCTCAAACTTAACATAGCCAAAATCAAACTCCTTATCTTCAAACTTACTCCAGCAGCCTTCCACACGTCCCTTGAAGGTGACTTCATTTTCTCAGGCACTCAGGCCCATATTCTTGGGTTTACCTTCAGCTCTGTTTCCTTTCCATTTATATCGCTCCAATGTCATAGTAGTGCAGTGGTTAAAGCACTAATTTGGTAACAAAAAATTTGGTGGTTCAAACATACACCAGCCACTCCACAGCAGAAGGAAGTGGCTGTCTGCTTCTGTAAAGATTTGCCGTTTTGGAAATCCTATGAGGCAGTTTTCTACTATCTTAAAGAATACCCTACAAGTCAAAATTGGCTCAATAGAAGATTTGTGGGTTGGAATGTTTTCCAAGTAAGTTTCTTAGTACCCCTCTTCTATGCCAGCATACCACCACCACCACTGTCCATGAGTGTAACACTAAAGCTTGGAATGACATCCTTACAGTGTAAATTAAGTCTTCTCAATCTTTGTTTCTGGTCTTCAAAGATCAAAGGTACTCAGTGTAAACTCCATAGTCCTTTCTAGGGCTAAGTGCTCAGTATGATCTGTCAAATGCATTTACTCCTCTCTTTCATTTTGCCCCGGTTACACTGGCCTCTTTTCTATTCCTCAAACATGACATTGATTCTTCTTTCTTGAGGTATCTGCACCTACTCTTTGCTCTTCTGAATGCTCCTGTGTGCAGCTATTTGCATAACTTGGCACCTTGCTTCCTTTAAGTCTTTGTTCAAACACAACTTTTTCAAGGAAATTTTTCTGACCATTTCATTTAAAATAGAAATTTCTACAACATCCCATTGTACATCCTTTTTTTTTACTTTACTTTTCTTCAAAATATTTTTATCAACTAGCCTATGCATTGATGATAATGCTGCAAAGTCTCAGCAGAGATTTTATTCCAGAATTCACTTAGTTCTTTTGTTTCTATTTTAACATCTTAAGATAAAATGCAAACTCCTTTAAACTGTGTATTATGTTTTACTAGTTTGTGTATAGTTTCCATTTTAAATAATGCCTGGTATAATACCTCAGTAAAGAGCTGTTAAACAAATGAATGATTGCATGATTAAACTGAAAGATGAATTAATGAAGTGATTGCAGTTGTCAGTTGCAAATTCCAAGGTGACTGGATAACCTTAAAATTGGATTCCTTAGCCAGGGAAAGTCTGATAGCGTTTCTTAACATTCCCTAGGTGTCAGATAAAGCTGGTGCGCAGTATTGGGTCTCTTGATACTCAATTTTTGGGAGTTTCTCAGGGAACTCAGCCTCAGTAACAAGATATTCAGACAATTAGTTTTTATCTCTTTCATAACTGTTCCTCGCACATAGCACACAACAGACACTTCTTTTAATGATCATTCATGTCTTGTTCTTCTATATCTCCAAGAGATTTGTCTTTATTTTGTGTCAGTCATGAATATCATCTTTCTTTAACAAATTAGGGAGCTTGTATTTATATATCAAGAACAATCTAAAATCCTATCTTTTTCATTGAGCCTAATGTAAATATCCTCCTCTTGAAATATAATAGACTGATGTTTTCTTAATGAGAAAATTACATGTCCAAGTGTCTTCTTTTTAAAATATTTTTTAGGACTCATGTGTATCATAAAATCTGTACAATGTTTTAATGTGAGAAATATTCACTGTTCATGTAATTTATACAATATATCTTTTCCATGGTTATGTGTCTACTGATAATATGTTTAAAAGTGGAACTTTTTTTTTACCAACCCCTCTGGAAAACATTTTCGTCAGTAATTTAATGTGTACATATTCGAATGCCAAAAACATAGATCTCCACAGGCATTATTTAATGATTTCAATGTACTCATTACAAAGATGTGCCAAATTAAAACAGCCAAATCAACTCCTTTAAAATCATTTGTCACATGACATTACATTATGTATTCATTGTTTTTTCCCTCAAATAACACAGAAGGCATTCTGTATTTTTTACTACCCTATTGTCCATTATATCAGCTGACAGTGTAAGTACTAAATCAAGATATGTAAGAAATACTCCTCTGTCAATTGTAAAACTTTGAAATTATATAGCCTGAAAAGAATTAAAAATTTAAAAATTAATAAAAATTCCAATTATAACTCCTGTTGGTCGTGTTAAAGTTCTTTTCTTTGTTCTTTTACATATCTAATCAAGTTACTTTTCCAATAGCTTTTTAGCATATGTCACAAGAAATAATGCATATACTCATTTTTAAAATTGCATAGGAGCCACAAGAACTTTATTTTAGCAAATTAGAACTGCCAAATCTGAATACTTGTATGTAGATAAAATAAGAAAGAACCTTTATCACACACAAAATGACCTAAATTGAATCAAAGCCTTAAATATAAAACCTAAGATATAAAGATCGTGTAACAAATATAGATCCAGGACAATTGCTCTATTATTTGGCATAAATATAATAACAGACACAAATGAAGCATTATCAATGGTAATATAAATCAGAAAAATGAAATTTAAAAATATAATGCTGCTTCTTCTTGTATTCATGCAAATGAGTTGGAACCAACCAATAGCTGACTCTTCTGTAGGTTTTTGGAAGCAGTAAATCCTACAGGAGGAGATTAGGCTTACCAAAATACTTAACTGAAGAATAAAAAGAAATACTACAAATTGGGGAACATTTTGGAAATAACATATCTGACAAAGGACCAGAATCTAAAATTTATTAAAAAGCTATCACATCAAAACAAAAAGACAAAAAATGCAATTTTAAAATGTCAAAGGACATGAAAATACAATCCTATAAGTTGAGCAATAATATCTGTGAGGAAATACTCTTCAAAACCAGGTAAAGGTATGGCTCAGAATTGTAAATATTAATTTTTTTATGCTAGACCACAGAGAGTTCAGAAAGCAAAGTGAGGCAGGAAAGAAGAAAGAATGGAAATGAGGAACCAAGAAATGTAATAAGAAAAGCACTTTACATTATGCTGAATGAGTTTCAGTATAATGAAATATATTGAAGGGATTTCAACTAAGGGAATGAAATAAATGTGGCACTGATGAATGGGAAGCTAATGCACTCTGTAAACTTCATCCAAAGCACAAAAAAAGTCCCCAAAACACAAAAAAAGCAAATAGAATATTTTTTTAAATTGCTTAGGAAATCTTATAGTCATTTTATTTATAATAACCAGAAACTAGAAAGACTTACAACTTCTATTGATAAATGAACTATTACAATTCAATACAAAGCAATAAATTACTGATGCACTCAACATTTTGGATGAATCTCAGAAATAGATATATTAGGCTACCCACGTGCTTATGAGAATCTACCAACAACTACTATTATATAATCTTGAATACATCCCAACTGAATTTAAAAGTCATCTTAAGATTTCATGTATAGAATACTGATGACGAGACAGCTTGTGGAATGATATCAAGGACATCATCCATGAAGATAGCAAAAGGTCATTACAAAGCTAAGAAGAATGAAAAGACCAAAATGAATGTCAGAAGGGACTCTAAAACTTGCAATGGAATAAAAACAAGCCAAAACAAAGAGAAAGAATGCTGAGAGAAGAGAGCTGAACTGAAAGTTTCAAAAGGAAACTTGAGAAAACAAAACTAAATATTATGATGAAGTGGGCAAGAAGCTGGAATTAGAAAACCAAAAATGAAGAATCTATTTCTTAAGCTGAAAGAACTGAAAAACAAATTTAAGCCTCAAGTTGAAATACTGAAGAATTCTAGGGCAAACTATGTGTATACATACAAACACATACTAGAGTAACACAGAAAGGAATTATTTCCTGGGGCCACCATGTCTGTATATGTACTTGTAGTGGTTTGAGACCTGGTGACAGAAAATCTTCTGAAAGACCCAGCTAAGGAAGACAAGTTAAAGCTGTGCCAGAGAACTTTGGATCTCTCCAAGGCACACCTGTCTTCTATTATGGCAGCGTTTTATCTTCAACTTACATTAAAATTGTTTTATCAGTATAAAAAATAGAAAGGAATTATTTATCTATTTGAGGGATACTGTTGTTAGATGCCATTTTTTTATTCATTTTAATGAAAATTTACAGAGATTTTGGACTTCCATTCATTCATTATTGCACTTTTCTTCCTCCCCACCCCTCTCCCCCAATTT